TACTTGGCATCAAACACGGAGTATAAAACTACCCCAATAAAAGTTGATAAACAAATAGTCTGGCTCAGGTCTCTAGGTCTCTCACATGAGCCTCAGTTCCAAGGGACTGGTGAGGCCCCACGCAAAGTGTTCCTATGGTCATAAGTCTCTGTAAAATTTACCAAAACACTATTCTGATTGTAATCACTTATGATTGTTGGATCTTTCCCGTGTAACTCTGCCTGTGCCATTCTCCCCTATGAGAAGGTACACTGGAGGAACAGTTGGCACTTCTGGGAGCCAGATAAAGACCCATTAATGTGAATGGACATTTAAGTTTCCCGTAGTTAATTTATGTATATTCAAATGAGATGAACTCCTGAACACCCTGGGTGGCCCTAGGCAAACAACACAAATGGGTCCACCAATATCTGGCATGGAGGGTACATGGATAATAGAAAAGAAAAAAACCTGAAATACAAGGAGCCGGAAGCTCATTTGTGAGAAAATTTTCAGTAGATTTGTTAAACTCTAGGCAGAGTTCAGTTCTCAGAAGAAAAAGTAAAAATCCTTACCTATCAGAAAAATAGGTCAGTAATATAGAACTATAATTGTAAATATGCCTTAGATGAATATTTTTCTTCCTTATTAAATGTAATTGTGAAAAAGAGAATAAAATCTTTCCACCCTGTACCCACCCCAGGAACACAAAGCTGTTTGTATACAATTATAAAATATATCTATATGTGAAATCATAAATCATGTATTCTATCACTAAAAAATTATCAGCTATTCTAGAAGAATAGATGAATTCTATTTTCTCACTGTCATGAAAAGGAAATTAAAAATACATAGCTAAGAAAAAAGGGATTATATGTCTGGTAATAAATGTTGCCTCCTTTCCAAGAAGTCTCATGCATCCCAGACTGTCTTGACGACCCTGAACTTCTTGTTTTCCTGTCTCTATGACCCATGCTGAGATCACAGGGATCCACCGCTATGTCAGGCTTATGCGGCACTGAGAATCACACTCAGGGCTTTGTGTATGCTAGGAACGCGCTCACTCTTTATCAACTCAGCTACAATCCTAGCTCCTTACTTTTTTGCATACTAAACAAATGTTTATTTAATGAATTAACTTTTATTTGTAACCTTATTCATTTAAAGAGATTTACATTTAATTTTAAATTGTGTGTGTGTGTGCCCCTGAGCTTGCATTTCTAGTGCGGGTATCCACAGAGATCCTTCTGGAGATGGATTTTTGGCTGATGTGAGCTGCCTATCCTTTTCTAATTATATATGCCTCAGGTTTCACAAAACCTAGCATCAGACTTTGCTCCCCCACAAGACTTTACTATTACTGTATTATATTACTGATTTATTATTTTGTATTTCAAACATTTAAACATTATTTAAAACTTTTTCTGATACTCCAGAAACTTTAAGTGTTTAAGGATACAGGACCTTCTACAGGGGAAAATCCCTGCGGTACAGTGGAATGGTCGAGGGTAAGTGCATTAAAGTGAGGATGGCAGAGGGCTGGCAGGTGGAGGAGCAGCTGGGATGGAGGGAGAGTCGAAGTAAAGAGTTATCAATACTCATACGCATGACAGTAGCTACTATGTCCCAAGTGACTCCCACTACCAGAAGGCCCAGATCAAGTCCTTTGCTTTACACTGTGCCATTTATAGCTCACAAGCACCTGTAATAGGTAGCAGTGTTTCCGCACTATAACTCAAGGAATTCCAGAGGAGAATGACTTGGAGTTCCTCACCTCTGCAGATGGCTCCAACTCCATCCTGATTCTACAGTGCACACAAAAGGAGTTGAATGGAGAAAGGAAAGCAACGGAGTAAGCCCACAAGAACATGTGCTCACCGAAGTCACATTTAAAAAAATCACTAGCGCAGTGGCTGCTCCGGCTGCTCATGCTCAATGGGGTTGGGGACTTACAGGAAGCAAGGGATCGAGTGGAGCATACTGCACTCGCCCTTACTCCCAGCACTCCAGAGAAAGAGGCAAGCAGGTTTCTGTGAGTTTGAGACCAGCCTGATCTACACAGCGAGTTCCAGGACAGACCCTGTCTCACTCAGGTGGGGAAGGCAGAGGACAGCCAGCTCAAGACAACAGAGTAGAGCAGAGGAAGCTGCCTGGGGCTGAGCTGTGAGGGCTCCAGCAGGCCGACTAGGGACATTAGGGAGGAGAGAGGAGCCAAAGCAGGGCTCCTCATCATATCCTGTTGTCACGGCGCCTTTGTGTTTTATTTACATTTACTTGTGGACGCGTGTGCACGTCTGACACCGTTCACTTAAAGAGGTCAGAGCACACCTTTTGGGAATCATTTCTCTCCTTCTACCACGTGTGTCCCTGGTTCCAGTGCAGGTCCCCAGGCTTGGCAGCAAGCACCTTTACCCATTTAGACATCTAACCATCCTAAGGTTTGTATCTTTAGGGAGCAATAAACTAAAATACCTTAGTATTTAGGCTTAGTGGGAAATAATCCTATAAGACTAAAACAAAATCACTGAAATCATTCTGCCCTCCTGATTCTGTCCCTGTCCTTATGCATATTTTTACACTTGAACTTTTGTGTGCACATGATTTCACCTTTAAGGTTAAAGGCATATTTGAAACATATTTCCTGGGATCAAAAATGGTTCAAATTATGCTTTGAGGAGGAACAGGAATGAGCTTGCCAAAGAATGTTGACTGGCCAAGAGTACTTACTTAACCACCTGACCGATACAACGTTTGCTTATCTGATTATTTTTTTTAAAAGTGGGATTTCAAAAATCAAAATATCACATACTGGTAGTTGCCTTCCAAAAATAGTCGACCACAATCCTCTCCAACATAAACAAGAAAATGATAGCACTGGGGTTTATCATGCTAAGTTTTAGGAGGTCCCCGACTTTTTAGCTTTCCTCCATAAAGTCAAACCATCATATCAACAGAGCCATTAGCGCCAACTGACTCCACACATACTGACCTGAGCAAGCAGACTAAAGTCGCCCAACTTTTCAATGTGTTCTGGCTGCACACCTAGCCCCGCACGGCGTTGCACGAAGCTCATGAAGGGAAAAGGGGAATCAGACGGTCAAACGGGGGAAAGAAAAATATGAATGTAACTGAGACGGCAGACGGAACTGAGAGAAATCTGTCAACGTGTGAATACAGGTGTTCGTGTGGCTCGAAGCAGGAATGTTTGGAAAGGGGACACTGGCCTATAGACATAAACGGCCTCCCATGGGACCACCCAAGGATTAATCTCTGCTTGAGCAATCCAGTTCACATCCTTCCCTCCAGGCAGGATAACTGTGGCACCACTGTCTAATTCTCTCCCAACTCATCTGACAAACACCCAGGGTTAGCCTGTGCTACTTTCACTTGCTAGTAACAATTACTGAAGTTCATGAAGTTCTTATTCAATGCAAGGTCATTTACACAGCTTCCAAACGTTGATTCTTAGTCTTCACAACAACGCCTGAGGTAAGTACATTTTAAACCCACTCTATGGATAGGGAACCTAAGGCAGGGATAAATGAAGGACATACCTCCTAGTGACCTGCTCTTTGGTAAAGGAATTTGTAGGTATCATCATCTATAAACTCGCTATTAAATGTAGCAAAGCAGGCCATTAGAGACTGGTTTTGCACATATCCCAGAATGTCACCCTAAACCCACCCAAGTTTGCTTCTTCCTGGGCTCGAAAATGGAGTTGTGCACAGGAAGTCACGATGTACATCTCTACTCTCGGCACTCAGAGGCTGAGGTAAGAGGGTGGCGAGCTGGAGGCCAGCCTGGGCTATGGAGAATGTCTCAATAAGAACCGTGGGGATGTGCAACTAGGGCGTGTCCCCTTTGAAGACTTCAGAACCGACAAGAGCAGCCACGAAGTGCTTCACAAATGACTTTCACAAACATTTTCCTTAGCCTACAAGTCAAGCTTACTTCACACCTCCCTATTTCCAACGACCTCTTTCATCTTCCTAACACTGAGAGAATCCGTAGGGCCGACTATGTATGATACTGTCTCCACCAGACCAACGCAAAATCAGTGTTAACCACTAATTACCAAACATTTTCACAGTGACCCAGTCAAAACCACCTCATGGAAACAAAACAAAGCTAGCGAGAAAAGTCACCCTTTAAAGATTTTGCCCTGACTTTGAAGCCATTCCATTTTCTGAACACTATGTATCGACATTATTTCCTGCATGAATGTCTTGTTTTAGTTTCAATTTTTCACCACCATTACTGGGGGCATGAAAGATCCTGAGAAATCACTGCCACGTGTGTAAATGGCAAAGGTGTTTATAATCTAGGGTGAGTAAAACGCAATGGGCCAATACTACTTCTAGATCCTAGCAGAGTAAGAACATTAACACTTGAGCCTCGGTTTTGAAGGAAAGGCAGAGAAGAAAAAACAGGGAGTGGCCAGTGCCCTTCTGGGCTTTCATTTATGGCTCTTGGTGGTGCTTCCCAAGGCTCTTGCTTTGTTGAGCACTGGCCTGGGGGAGGGGGTGGTCTTCAGAAGGGCATTCTAGTGGTCCTTAACCCTCCACGGGACACCCAGTGTCCACGAGAGACGCCGGGACTCTCAATCATCCCCCTTCCTCGACAGCTGGTCTCCACGTGTGATGTCCCTGCCCTCAGTACTCTGCTGACAGCCAGGCTCCGCGCGGAACTCCGCAGCTCCCAGTCCTCCCCAGACTGCCCATTTACATAAGCAACACTCCTGTCCTCAGCGGACTAGTCTCGACCCGAGACCCTCCTCCCTTCGCCCCTCCACGGACAGGCCGTTCACAGACGTGTGTTGTCAACCGCGAACTCGGCGAGGAGCTGGCGCGCCTCACCAAGGCCTCAGTGCCGGGCGTGGACTTTCTCTGGTGGACGGCCAGCCTCAGGCCTGGTCCGACTCAGGTTCCACTGAGGTCCGGCCGACGAAGGAAGCCCCAGCTCGCCCCATCGGCCCTGCGCGGCTCGCCCGCCGCCCCCGCCCACGGCCGCCGCGTCCTCACCGTGCCACACACACCGGCCTGCGACGCCGCCAGCCAGGCCTCCTTCACGTCCGACGCCCGCGCCGCCCGATCCCGACAGCTAGCTGCTTCCCCGCCCCCGCAGCGCGTCCGCCGCAGCCCCGCCCCCCCGCGGACGCACCACCGATTGGCCTGCGGGCGGGTCCTCCCGTCGGGCGCCTGCGAGCGCGGCTCCCAGCTCTGATTGGTGGCCACACGGGGAAGGGCGGGGCAGGAGGGGACCCCAGTGTCCAAGGCAAAGCTGTGCAGCTCCTCCGCGGGTGGATCCGTGCCCCGCACGCTGGGCGGGCCTTCGGTGCTGGGAGGGGTTTGGGGACTCGAGAACTCTGTACTGGGTGGGACTTAGGAAAGCCGCGAGTTCTTAGTCTTTGGCTTGCCGGGAGGATTCGGTCTTGGACCCGGCTTCGGAACTACGGGAACTCTGGCCTGAGTTGGACTCTGGAACGCGGGTGGGCCCTGCGTGAGCCTTGGGCGGGACTGTGGCACAGGGGCGGGTCTCAGTCTACAGGCTGGCTTTGGCAAACAGGGAGGGTCTGGGTGGGGCCTGGGATTGCTCCCGCACCCCTCCCCCCAGCTCGCCGGACTACCCCGACATTTATACTCTTAGTCACGCCCCTGACTGCCATTCGTCGTGTCCCGCCGCCCCCGAGAATAATGGAACTGTAGTCTGTGGGCACCAGGGTTGTTTTTGAGGTGCTGTACCAGAGACAAGCTACGCCAAAGAAGCTCCCTGAAAGCTTTCGTTGTTCCCTTCTAGTTTTGAGTCTCTTTTTGGGAATCAAAACGGTGACAGTAGATTCTGGGCCCTCCATTCCTGTGACTTGCAGTACCCCACTTTCTTGTTCAGTTGGTTAATTGAATGGCCCTGCACGGAGCCCTCTCAACCATGGCCAGGCTAAATAAACCCAGAACAGTTTGCGCATAGTCCCAAATACAAATCCCTGGCCTTTGGAAGAGTCCCCAAGTCAAGATGGGAGTGCCTCGGCCCACTGAGGGTGGGGCCTCTGCTTCCCCAAGGCAACCTAGGAGGAGCACAGGCAGACTGAGCTCAGTAACTTGGGGAGGCCTCCCAACTTCTTCCACCACCCTTGCCTTTCCCTCGAACCAGACAATGCCACTGAGTGTGCTATCAATCATAAGAAAAGTGGCAGGGCAGGGCAGGAATGACGTTAGACTGAGCAACCTAATGACCTAGAGAGCAAAAATCCCACTACCCTGGGGTCAGTGTGCTGCTCAGAAAGCAAGAGGATGAGGGGCCCAGATAGCACTGCCACAGTCAATACAGTGGTCTGGCTGCCCAAATGGGCGTGAGCCCAAGTCGAGGGGGTTTTTAGGGTTGTGTGGGTTTTTGTTGTTTTCTAGTTTTCTAAACAATTTTGTGTCTCCTTCCACCTTGTGTGTCTCAGGACCAAACTCAGGTTTGATCAGGTGAGTGGGAGTACTCAGCTCTGAACCTCTCACCAGTCTCAAGTCTGGTTTTCAAAGTTGCTTTCCTGGGATGGAGGGATGGTTCAGCAGTAAGGAGCCACTGGCTGCTCTTCCAGAATACCTAAATTCGGTTCCTGGCACCCATATGGCTGCTCACGGTTCCAGGAAATCTGACATCCTCTTCTAGCCTCCTTGGGCACCAGACACGCACATGGTACAGACACGTGTATGCATGCAAAATAGTCATACACATAAAATAATGTAAAAATCTTAAAATCTGAGCATGGTGGCTTACACCTCTAATCTCAGCACTATGGAGGCAGAGGCAGGTGGATTTCAATGAGGTGGAGATCAGCCTGATCTACTTAGGGAGTTGTAGGCTAGCCAGGCTAAAGGGAGACTGTCTCAAATACTACCAAAAAATAGTTATTTAAAAAATTATAAAGCTGTTTTTTGAACTTATCTCTTATATGGAGAAACAGAAATATATTTGGAACACTTTTACTTCCCACGATGCTGAACAGTTGTTGCTTCGTTTTCTAATTAGTAAACTTACTTTTGAGGTTTTAGTGTCCATTTTTAGCAAATAATCTGTTGATAATTTGGTAACCTGTACAAAGTTCTATCCCAGCTGTACCATTTCTTCTCAAATATCTGGATTATCACTGGTGAAAACATATGCAGTACTCATGCTATTAATACAAGCAACTCCTGTTTGGATACACAGTTGTCACTGGGGCCCTGAACCTTCCCAGTGAATCTCATGCCTTACTCAAATAAAACGAAGACTGCTCATTTTATTAAACAATAGTGCTTTATTGAAAAAGGGTTAGTTTAAATGGCTACAAAGTTGAAGTGTAAAATGTGTACATTCCTACAGGTACAAGTTAACTTCTTAGTGAGAAAGCAAATATTTATTAGCAAGAGTATGTTTAGATTTGGATGGAAAAACTGAAGGGGGATTTAGAATTGTGGCTGTAAGATCTTCCAGCACACACTCACATTGTCATCCTTCGATGTCGGCTGGCTCTCAGTGGCACCCTTAACTCACAAACACAGGGCTCACACTGAATGCTTGAAAATGCTTTTGTTTAAAAAACAAACAACAAAAAAAAACTTTCTCCAATCAAATTAATGTTAAAATGACCCAAACAGGATTTCCACAGGTGCACTCCATAGTCATCAACAGTTTTCTTGGTAGAAACTTCACACAATTAACCCCCAACCATTCACAGTGATGCAACAGTGAAGGGGCAAAATGAGCAAATGTATTATTTTCTGTAATTTATAACACTTTTTAAGTCTCATTTTATTAGTACTATTGATTTTTGGCCTGAATTACACATGAATCCCTGGCTCATCATCAATCAAGCACTTTCTTCTGCAGCAAAATGACAGCAGAGAACTAGCACCTGCTTTGCTTCCTCCGCACCACCGTCTCCCTCACTCGCCATTTCTGTGGCCATTAACTGACATTAGGGGACAGCGCCAGAGAATATAAGCCAGGTGTGGCTCTGCTCACCTGCTTGCAACACAGATCTGAAATGCCTTTCATTCATGCCACACAGACATTTAACTATACAAACTGAGGAAAATGACAATGGCGGAAAACAGATGAGACAGTCTGCACATAAAAAACTGCTATTTTCCTCCCAGTAGAAAACCACTGAAAAAGGGAAGAATTAGAGGAAAACCTGGCAGGGCAGGCATTTGGGCTTCAAGCGGCATTTTGTGCAAGAGCACCACCCAATCACAAGCCTGGGTTCCTATCTATGCCAGCCAAGGACCATGATTCCCACTGCCACGGCGATCTTTGCACCAAGTTACACAAAGTACATTAAAGTGCAGTATAAAATATAAACATTTTGGTTTCTTTAAAAAAGTATTGCCTTTTAGTTGAGTAGAAAGTTTACTGACTCTTACTGTGTAACGAGTCTTGTTACACTATGAAGTTGGAGCTCACAGCTGCTTTGGTTTTCTCCACAGCACAGCATAATCAGCATCCACAGTATAAAAATCCTTGTAGTGAGTTCTCTACAGAGGTTTGAAAATAATCTGGCACTAGAATCCAGAGCTCTTAAAGTTCAACCCTGAAATCCTGCTTTTTAAAAGCTATTTAAGTATAAACATGTATCTCATTAGATAAATCTCCTCTGTTCTGCCTGGTTAACAGATAAATGTGCAGATGAATTAACCGCACTAACTACAGCAGCAAAAGTGGTTTTAGGTGTTCTGCACAAATATAAAGTTAACAGTGTGTGCTTCGTTCTACTAAGCAAATATGCTGCCACCAAGTCTGCACAACCACCTCTGTTACAGGTATGTCATGTCCACCACACGGGAACATTCTGAGCAAAGAAAAATGTCTAGACATAAATCAAGAGTACTTGTCAATGATTGGTCAGGCCAGCTAAATCAAAGAAATTCACTATTAAGTTATATATGTTGACTGACTTTTAGAAAAAAAATTCTAACATTAGTGGTTAAGGAAGAAGAAAATCAGGATTTACCTCACAAAATATAAAATGTAACATAACAATGAAATATAAATGTTAAAAGTACTTCATACCAGAGGGCAAAAAAAGAGAAAAGAACCAAATATCAAAACCATCAAAAGTTTAAAAAACAACAAAACAAAGTCCCAACTGAAATCCTCAGACACAGCGAGTTAATCCGGATGGGCACACTTTCAAGGGTGTTAAGAAACTTGATGCTGCAGCACTTATCAGGAATACTTTTCTTTTAATCCAAAAGTGTTTTCTGGAGAGCAAAAACAAAACCATGTAAATGGAAGTGATGCATTTATTGCTTTGATCATTAAACAATACTCCCTCTTATGTGAAAGGGCATGAGCTGAGGAAAATGTTCTGTATCTATGACCAGTTAACCAAATCAAGATGCCATTTATGAAGCTCTCTGAAACCATCAGGTTCCATGAAATTAAAGTGTAGAGAATTACACCAGACCACAAATGTAAATGATATGCCCATTTCTAATAGTCACATATTGTTTGCCTTAAAGGCCTGAAGGTCTGTAATCTCCATGCATCAAGGTGACCCTTATTTAGCTGGCATTAATTCTTCTTCCTAGTACCTATACCATTCATCTGCAAAAGCTTTTAATAAATTAAGAAAGTTCTATATGAAGATGTTCACAATATTAATGAGTGTCCAATACTATGTCTAATGAAAGTTTAAAATTTTTTCTTTAACATAAATTATATATGTAACAGAAAATAGGAATGTTTTTATTAGACAGCAGGTGGCAGCAGAGAATGGTTTTTGCTTTTCAATGAAAGGCTAGTGATACAGAATGGTAGGTTCAAAAATGCAAAACACTGGTAAAGCTTAAGACAGAGGAGCCCATGATACTCAAGGTTGAGCTGACAGTGAAGTCACCTTACCTCCCCAACGTACTAATATGCAAACACCACCTCACACATGGTGCCCGAGTGTCCCACTGTCACTGTCACCACCCTGCATCTGCATCTGCATCTGCGCTTGCATCCTTGCAATCATCTCCTGCATGCGGCGAAGCTAGGAACGGGACATGTCAGATACAGTGTTAGTGTTGTCATAATATTTAGTTTTTACTATTTTTCTCAAGAACAGTATGTTCAAATAAAAAGAACTTCCAAACCAATCTAAAAAGTCAGTAATTCATCAAAAGTTCATGTAAATGACAAAATATGCATTAAATTACCAATAAAAAGAAGCAACAGTTAGAGAATATGACAATGAGACAAGAAAGAAGGCTGCTATTACCCTCTGGGGAACAGAAAGGGATAGGGAATGGGCATGAGTCGTCTTTTCTGCTTGGCTAAAAGGTCTTAGCCATGCTTACCCACTGCTACCCTTATCCTTTTTTTTCCCAGTTATTTTTGAGACACATTATCATGTAGCCCAGGCTAGAACAAAACTCCCTATCCAAAAATATTTATAATTAATTTATTACAATTTTCTTTCTTCCTTTTTTGAGTCATTATACACAAATCTTTTAAATTTATGTGTATATATGTAATATACACATTTTAAAATATATTTATTTGGTTATCAACTATTCTCTACAATGTTTCTGTAACCAGAAGGGCAAGGCTCTTCTCATGAGTCCAATTTAAATGCGCTCTCTGTACCTCACTTGCTTACTTATTCCTTCAAACATTAGGCTTACTTTACCCAGGAAAGATAAGAGCATTCATTCATTCAGTCTCTAGTAACAGTTTTGCTAACAATAAAAGGCAATGTGACTGATTTTCAGAAAATGTTCAAAAATCTTTTTCCTATTATCCTCAAATGGATAATAACCAATTGAGAAACACATCAAGGCTGCAATTTGCATTCATCACTAAAAAAAGGGTAGAAATACATAGGACTTAAATGGTGGAGAAGTTAGGAAATGCTTCTAATAAGATTGTAAAGATTAAAATAGATATAACATTGTGGATAGGACAAGTTGCTATAAAAATTCAGTCTTCTGAACATATACCTCAAGGATAATAATTGGTAGGAGTCTGGAGATGTAGCTCTGTGGTCTACCACAGAGTGCTTACCTAACATGCAGGAACCCCTGGGTTCAGTCTAAAAAGGGCTCAGTGGTTAAGAACAATGGCTGTTCTTCCTGAGGACCTGAGTTCAATTACCAGCACCCACACGAAAGCTCACAACCACCTATAACTCCAGTTCCAGGGGATCTGACAGCTTCATACCAATGTACATAAAATAAATTTAATGAATTATGCCGGGCGGTGGTGGCGCACGCCTTAATCCCAGCACTTGGGAGGCAGAGGCAGGCGATCTTTGTGAGTGGAGACCAGCCTGGTCTACAAGAGCTAGTTCCAGGACAGGCTCCAAAACCACAGAGAAACCCTGTCTCA